ATTTTCCCACCTCAGCCTCCTAAGTAGCTGGGACCACAGGTATGTACCACCATGCCTGGCTAATTTGGTTTTCTTTTTGTGGAGAAGGGGTCTTGCCATGTTGCCCAGGCTGGTCTTCAACTCCTGAGTGTAAGTGATGCACTCCACTTGGTTTCCCAAAGTGCTGAAATTACAGGTGTGAGTCACTACACCTGGCCCATTCCATTCTTTTTAACAAGGCTTGCACTCGGGAGAAACTATTTTACTAGAGTCTAACTTTCTGGGGTTTATCAAAGCCTCATCTACCAGAAGGAAGTGAAATGCCCAACATGAGCTGACTCTAAACCTCCATGTGGAGGAAGGAAATTGCCAACCTCCAGCTAACCTCCACCTTAAGGGTTCAGGGGACAGGGAACTGAGGAGCACTTGTGAGGTTCACAGTCCAGGACAGGATACTGGCTCACCAAAACACTGAGGCCTTTTAGCAAGCCTATACAATGCTTCTCCTCCCACCCAAACCATACTTCTATAGCACCAAAGGCAAGTTTACCAGAGTTCCTTTTACTGAGTACACCATGTTTAGATTTCAACAAAATTACAAGGCATACTAAAAGGCAAAAAGTTTTAGTTGGAAGAAACACAGGAAGCATCAGAACCAGAGTTAGATATGGCAGGGGTGTGGAAGTTATCAAACCAGAAATTTAAAGCACTTATAATTAGTATGCTAAGGGTGCTAATGGAAAAAGACAGCATGGAAGAATAGACAGGTAATGTAACCAGAGTTTGAAATTCTAAGAAAGAGTAAAAAATAAATGTTAGAGGTTAAAAATACTGTAACAGAAATCAAGAGTGCCTTTAATGTGCTCTTTGCTAGACTGAACATGGTTAGATTAAGGGCATGATGATTTAAACATCTAAAACTGAAAACCAAAGAGAAAAATGGGTTGGAAAAAAGTAGAATAGAATATTGAAAAACTGTGAGACTACAAAAGATATAACATATACATAATGGGAATATGAAAAGAAGCAATAATAAAAAAAGGGATAGAAGCAATATTTAAATCAATAGTTACTGAGTATTAACTCCATATTACCTGAAAGAAAACTCAAATTCAGGAACAACGGAAAGCACCAAAAAAAGTAAAGGCTTCAACCTATACCTAGCCATATTGCATACAAGCTACAGAAAATCAAAGACAAAGAAAATATCTTAGAAGAAGTCAGAAGAAAAATATCAGCTGACCTGTAGAGGAGCAAAGATAAGAATTACATTAAACTTCTCAGAAATCATGCAAGCAAGAGGAGAGTACAGCAAAATATTTAAACTGCTCAGACAAATAATTCTGCAATATTCTCCTTCAAAAGTAAAAAAAAAAATTAAGAATTTCAGACAAATAAAAATTGAGAGAATTTGTTGCCAGTAAAGTTGCCATGTAAAAAATATTTTTAAAAGTGCATCAGATTAATTTCTGATGCAGGTCAGAAATTTAGATCTATATAAAGAAAGAGAAAACATTGGAGATGGAATTAGTAAAGGTAAAATTAAGGTTGTTATTTTTCTTATTTTTAATTCATCAAACAGATAACTGATCAAGAAAAGATAATCGCATCAGTGTATTTCGTTCTGTATATATGTATGTAGGCATGCATATGTGTAAGTTTAATGAGTGACAATAGTGAGACAAGAGATGGGAGGAAAGAATTAGGAATATTTTGTTATTGTAAGGTACCTGTACTGCCCATGAAGCGGTATAGTGTTATTTGAAAGTGAACTTGGATTAGTTGTAGATGATACTGCAAATTCTAGGGTAACAGCTAAAAAAATGTTAAAGAGAAGCGTTACAACTGACATGCTGAAAATAGAAAGAAAATGAAATAATACAAAACACTCACTTGAAGCCACAAAGTCAGAAAAGGCATGGAAGACAAAAATATGAGAAAAGGACAAGGGAAAGAAGTAGAAACAATAACAAATATGGCAGATATTAATCCAACTGTATCAATAATTACTTGAAACATCAGTGGTTTAATTATACCAATTAAAAGACAGAAATCATCTAAGTGGATGAGAAAACAAGACCTAACTGTATGTTGTTTACAAGAAATCCACTGTAAATATAAAATACATATAAATTAAAAGTAAAGGAATGGATAAAGAGATTCAGTGTTAACACTAATCAAAAGAAAGCTGAAGTAGCCAACATAATTTAAGACAGAGCAAATATCAGAAAAAGAGAAGTTATCAGAGACAAAGAGGGACATGGCATCATAATAAAGGGGTCAGTACTCCAAAAGAACAACAATTCTTTATGTATATGCACCTAACAACAGCATCAAAATATATGAGCCAAAAGTGGAGAGAACTGCAAAGAAAAATAGAGGAATCTACTATTATATTTGGAGACTTTAACTCTCCTCTATCAGAAAATGACATATTCAGTAGGCAAAAAAATCAGTAAGCATACAGATCAAAAACAAGTTAAAGGATATCACCTCTTAGCACTTTCTAGTCGCATCTAATGCAATAAGACAATACAAGAAATAAATTGTGTATTCTTTGAAAAGAAAAAATAAAACTATCTTTGTTTACAGATGACACAATATATTTATGTAGAAAATTCAGATGAATCAGCCAAAAAGATCTCTGAAATTAGTAATTAATTACAGCAAGTTTGCAGGATATAATACAGAAAGATCAATTGCTTTCTTATGTATCAGCAATAAACAGAAGAAATTTTGAATTTTAGAACACAAATATTGTTTACATTAATATTTCCCAAAATGATATACTTAGGTACAAACCTAATACATTTAGGTACAAAATACATACATTATCCATATGAGGAAAACTAAAAAACTGATAAAAGTTATTGATGGCAGTGGTAGGCTGTCTGGGGAAGCTGCTGCCGTCACGTGGACTGCAGCAGGGACACATGTCTGGGGCTGCAAACTCCATGGAGCCAACGGAAGCTGCCCCTTCTGAGTTGGGGTCAGAGCTCTCTGGGTTCCACTGCAGCCTCCTGAGCCATGACTGTGGACCCAGGCATCCCTGTGCTCTCAGGCCCAGGAGCAGGTGAGAGCCCAGATCTCATAGGCACAGCTTCAGGTGCCCAAGTTGCATCTGTGGACCAGGGCCTCCGGCTCCACAGAGCAGGCAGAAACCCTGCTCTCCTCCGCACAGCTGAAGCCACCCAATGGCAGCTGCAGACCCAGGCACTTCTGCATTTCTGCTCTCTTGGGGGCCTGGGAAGGCCTCCTCTGCCTTTGCAGGCTTGGAAAAGCCTGCTCCTGCTTGCTGGCTTCTCTCTGCTCTCAGCATCCGCTTTGATCTTGGAGCAAAGTCAGGGGCAAGCCCAGGTGCTGTCAGCCCTGCCGAGTGTGCACACATTTGGGGCAGTGCTGACAGGCCAGCCCACTGCCACCTTGGTCCCCTCTGGACTTTGGGTGCTGATGAGCATGGGAGAAAAGCTGAGGGGGCACTACGGGTAGCTCAGTGCTGGCCTGCAATGGCACCTTGGCACCTACAGCCTGGCACCACAAACAGCAGCAGCAGGAGGTAGGTTTCTGGGCGTTAGGGGGCGGGTCCCCAGTCCTTCAGGTGGCTACCTTCAGGCCAGGGAAGGTCTGAAGGCTGGAAGCCAGGCTACCAGTCCTGTGAACTGGAGTAGGAACTTGTTGTCCCATTTCTGGGGCTGCCCATGTCCACACATGGACCAATCAGCATGCACTTTCTCACCTCTGAGGCCCGTGAAAGCCCTGGGCTCAGATATACCTGAGTAGACCTCAGAACAACAAGCTGCAGAAAGGTGCTACCCACACCATGACCTTCTCTCTGCTGAGAGATGCAGAAACAATGAAATGACCTGCCTGCAGAGAGGAGCTTTCCACTCCAGGGTCTCCTCTCAGCTAGGAGCTGAGCACTCGGAACACCCTGGCTGCACAAAGGAGTACCCACTGTGGGTCTCCTCTGAGCTTTTCTATTGCTCAATAAAGCTCTTTTTCATCTTGCTCACCCTCCACTTTGCATATCTCATTCTTCCTGGTTGCAGGACAAGAACTCGGGACCCATTGGCTGGCAGGGCTAAAAGAGCTCTAAAACAAACAGGGCTGAAACACATCTCATGCTCACCATGCTGCAGGCAAAGAGAATGAGAGAAAAGCTGTGGCCCTTCAGGGAGCCTAGACCTGGGAGCTCCTCTAGTCAGGGCTGTCACTCTCTCCTTGGGGCCCTGTGGTTCCTGGTATCTCCAAGCTTCTTGGTGCCACTACACTCTCCATTGCCAGCTGTGGAAGCTGCTCGCAGTGTGCCCAGTTCAGCCATAGCCTCTCAGAGAGCTGGTTTCTGTGCCAGCACCTGAAGCTGCCCGCCCAGCTGCGGTGGCCAGGCCTCACTCACTCACACACCCCTCACTGCTCCACACCTGACTCAACCTTGGCAGACATGGGATCTAGGCCTGTCTTGTGAGCTGAGCACAGCCTGCTAGGTGGAACAAACCTAGCAGGCCCAAGCAAAACCTGGACAAAGGAACCACTGTTCACAGAGGTTTCTGGCCAGAATAGTGACACCTCAAGGATTCTGTAACAATATAAAAAAAGAACAAGGATCCGGTGACAGTATCAAAAAGGAAATACACAAATGAAGAGGTATTTTGTGTTTACTAATAGACAGATGCACAATTTCCAAGATGTTGGTTCTTCCCAACTTGATCCACAAAATTAATGCAATCCCAATTAAATTCTTCTTAAGTTATATCTAGTCATATTGTGCATATCAACAAAGTGAATCTATGGTTTATATGAAGAGGTGAAGCGTGCAGGATAGATAATTCAGTATTGAAGAAGAACAGTCAGAGGACTGACACTAACCATTTTGAAGACTTACTCTAAAGTTACAAGATTTAAACCATGTGGCATTGACAACAAAATAGACAAATACATCAATGGAACAGAATAGAGAACCAAGAAATAGACACACATGAATCTAGTTAACTTGATCTTTAAAGAAAATTTATTTTTGTTGATACATAATAATTATATATATTTATGGGGTACATATGATATTTTGATACATGCATACAATATATAATGATCACATTAGGATATTTAGGATATTCATGATTTCAAACATTGGTCATTTCTTTGTGTACAGAACATTTCAAACATATATTGGGTGAAAGGAGCCCATCTAAAAAGACTATGTACTGTATGATTCTAACTGCATGACATTCGGGAAAAGCAAAAGAATGGAGGCAGCGAAAGATCAGTAGTTGCCTGGGGTTAGGTGGAATGGAAGGGTAAACAGGCAGAGCAGAGAGGAATTTGGGGCAGAGAAACTCTTCTGAATGATACTAGAATGGACAACACTTGTTATTATACATTTGTAGAACACCATGAGTGAATGTTCATGTAAGTTAAGAACTTTGGATTATAATGTTGTGCCAATGTAACTTCACTGATTATAAAAAATGTACCACTGTAGCATGGGATGTCAATAGTGGGGGAAGATGTGCATGTGTAGGAATGGGAATATATAGGAATTCTCTTTACTTCCCATGTACTTTTTCTGTGAGCCTAAAACTGCTCTAAAAAATAAAGTTTATTAATTAAAATACATAAAATCTATTAGAAATGTAAACAGAAAAGTAAAGCAAACAATACCATAGTATACAAAATGCCAGTTCTTTGTAATATGCTTTAAGATTTGGCTCTGAATTATTTTTATTATTTCCTTAAAATAAATACCTAAAACAAAGAATACTGTCTCATTTGGGAGGTTTCCCATAAATTTCACATGTTGTAATTTTTTTTGTTATTTCTTTAACAATTTATGATTGTCACTGTAGATAACATTTCCACAAATTCAGTGTCAAAGTTCTAATTGGCTTTTTATTAGCAATTCATAGACTAGGTATTATCCGGTCTACAAAATAAAAAGGAGCTTTAGTGAACTAAACAGAAGGAATAAGTTCTACATGTGCAAAAATGCGGAGAAAAGAAGAAACAAGAAAAACATAGCAAATTGATCATTTTGAGGTTAATTTTTAAATAGGGATGAAAGCAAAATATTGTTGGAGTAACATAATTTTGCTGTCATTTTTGTGCCTGGTTTTATGAAAGCTCAAAAACTTAAGTTTCATTTTGGTGGAATGAAACTTCAGCATGAGTGACTCCATTTTGTATCTACTCTCTTTATCTTTAACATCACATTTCTTACATTCTCACATTATATTTCTTTAACATTCTTAAGTTTCATCATTGACTCCATAAATATTTAATTTCTAAATGTTAAAATGCTTGCTTTTGTTATGGCTTAAAATATTAATTATTATTTTCTAGCTTATATTTTTTTCATAGAGTATATTTTATACTACATGGGAGTGAAGGTAATTACATTTTGGGAAGGCTCAATTTTCATGTAAGCTTAGGGAAAAAATATTTTCTGTGGTTGAGATGTTTATGTATACCTAGAAATGTGGTCTTACGTATTATATTTTTCAAGTATTTTGCTTTGATTTATTGCCTTATCAAAGAAAGACAAAGATGGAGGTAGAATTTCTCAAAGAAATTACATGTTTCTTACCTTATGTTTACCCTTATTTTTCTAATAGTGTTATGCTAATTTAGCAAGCAAATATTAATAGTTATTGATTTAAACATTGCTTCTGTCCCTTTTTTTATTATTGCTTCTTTTCATATTCCCATTATATATATGTTATATCTTTAGTAGTCCCACAGTTTTTGAATATTCTATTCTACTTTTTTGTATATATATATAGTTTAATATTTTTGTCATAAAAATGTATTTACATTGTATGAAATAATATTGCCGGCTTTGCTATTTTTAGTTGAACTGATCAATGTTTTTGTTTTTAAACATCCTATCACATGTTTTGTCATATGCATGTGTGTATATCTTTTTCCTAGGATTATCCTACTGTTACTCATGTATGTCCAAAATTAATGTCCAATGTGATTAATAATTTAGGTAAAAGATAATTTCAAAATTATGGCAATTATTTTATATTTATATTTTGATATTGATTTAAAAAATAATGTTTTAGAAGTGAAGTTTAAAATCATATTTTCTCCTATGTAGGTATTTCTTACCTACCTAGGTAACTAAAATACTCTATTTTTTGTTCCTAAATTTCAAAGTATGGATTCCATAAGTTCATAATGTTGCCTAATTCTTTAGCTTAAGAAATTATTCTTTCATTATGTTATTGATTCTATCCTTTTTTTCTGGGATCTTTCTTAAGAACAAGAAATCCACTTGAGTTGACTCTTCTCACTCTTCCATACCAATATTCTTTTATAATTTTCATCTCACTGCCAATTTCTTCTTTATTCTGAGAGAGCAATGATTCTTGTCTTTCACATAACTCATTCATAAGTCTCACAAAATTCTATGATTTCATTGATTTTCAGGTGGATTTAATTTAGCTTTTGTATTTCTATACATGTGTAAGGATCTACAGAAATATACTTTATTATACACTTTTGGCAAGTTGATTTGTTTTACAAAATTATCTATCTTAGAAATCATTCTTTGTTTTAATATGACTATATACCTCAATATCCTTCAATCTCCCTTAATTGTTCCCCAGTTTTAATAGCTACAGGATGTTGCACTAAATGGATTTGCATAATTTATTGTTTCCTTCCAGATCTAGTTGTGTTCAGTCTTTTAATAGTACAAACAATTCTTTCAAATAGTCTTTGTATGTAAGTCTCTTTCACATGAGTGAACATATTTGTAAGATAAATTCCTAAAAATAATAATTGTTAGAATTCAGAATGTGTTTGTTTTTCCTCCTTTTTTTGTTTGTATTTTTGAGAAGCACACCAAATTGCCCTTCATAGACAGGTAATTTCCTTTTATGCATCCTAAAAATGAATCCAAAAGCCAAAATAGACAAATGGGATAATTAAACTTAAGAGTTTCTGCACAACAGAAGAAACAATCATTAGAGCGAATCAGCAACCAACAGAATGGGAAAAACCTTTTGCTATCTGCCCATTTGACAAAGGGCTACTATCCAGAATCTACAAAGAACTAAAGCAGATTTACAAGAAAAAAGTACACAACCCCATCAAAAAGTGGGTGAAGGAAATGAACAGACGCTTTTCAAAAGAAGACATTTGTACGACCAACAAACTTATGAAAAAATTCAGGGTGCGGTGGCTCAAGCCTGTAATCCCAGCACTTTGGGAGGCTGAGGTGGGTGGATCACGAGGTCAAGAGATCGAGACCATCCTGGTCAAAATGGTGAAACCCCGTCTCTTCTAAAGATACAAAAATTAGCTGGGCATGGTGGCGTGTGCCTGTAATCCCAGCTACTCAGGAGGCTGAGGCAGGGGAATTGCCTGAACCCAGGAGGCGGAGGTTGCAATGAGCCGAGATCGTGCCATTGCACTCCAGCCTGGGTAACAAAAGCGAAACTCCGTCTCAAAAAAAAAAAAAAAAAAAAAAAAAACAAAACAAAAAAATGCTCATCATCACTGGTCATCAGAGAAATGCAAATCAAAATCACATTGAGATACCACCTCACACCAGTTAGAATGGTGTTCATTAAAAATCTGGAGACAACAGATGCTGGAGAGGATGTGGAGAAAAAGGTACACTTTTACACTGTTGGTGGGAGTGTAAATTAGTTTAGCCACTGTGGAAGACAGTGTGGTGATTACTCAAGGATCTAGAAATAGAAAGTCCATTTTACCCAGCAATCCCATTACTGGGTATATACCAAAAGGATTATAAATCATTCTACTATAGAGACGCATGCACATGTATGTTCATTGCAGCACTGTTTACAATAGCAAAGACCTGGAACCAACCCAAATGCCCATCAAGGATAGACTGGATAAAGAAAATGTGGCACATATACACCATGGAATAATATGCAGCCATAAAAAATGACTAGTTTGTGTCCTTTGAATCTGCAAACCATCATTCTCAGCAAACTGACACAAGAACAGAAAACCAAACACTGAATGTTTTCACTCATAGGAGGGTGTTGAACAATGAGAACACTTGGGCATAGGGAGGGGAACATCACACACTGGGGTAGGTTGGAGGCTGGGGGCTAGGGGAGGGGCAGCAGAGGGCGGGGAGGCTGGGGAGGGAAAACACTGGGAGAAAGCCTGATGTAGGAGACCGCCAGAAGGAGACTGCAAACCACCATGGCATGTGAGTATCTATGCTGCAACACTGCAGGATGTGCACATGTACCCCAGGACTTAAAGTACAATTAAAAAAAAGAAGCACTGTTAATCCAAGAGGCATCAGCTCCAACCCCCCACAGAAGTAACAGTCAATGCTAGGAATTCTAATTTCAGCATCAAGTTTTCCCATGACTCTTTCTGTTTTTGTCTGTTGTATCGCTGGACTTTGTAGCTGAGCTGTGTATCTCCCATGATATAATTTATCCAAGAATTACTTTTCTGCATCTGATCTGTGGTTCTCTGAGAGATGAAGTTGTCATTTCTGAATGAATTTAAAGAGAAGTTGATTACCGGAGGAGGAAATTGGAAGGGAGGTGGCAACCCTTAGCTCTTTTATTGTATCTGGTTTGTTTTCTCAGTGCCTATTACGAATTATGAGCCATCATCCACGCTGTAAGCAATAAATAAATTATCTCTGCATCCTCTTCAAACTATAGTATTTGTGATTCTTCTCTCAACTCTGTAAGTTTTGTAGTTCCCAAATTTTGACAATAGGTTGGCTATGAATATTAGTTTTTATTGCTGTTTTTTTTGTTGCTATTTTATTGACAGGTTCGGAGAGATTACATGAAGAGAGATAATCAGAATACGCATTTACTTAAAATTATTGGTTTAATTTGGAATTTGAATTAGGTCATTCTCTTAGAAGACATATATTTCTGTCTCAAAGACTTAATGTGTAAACCATATTTAACAAACGTTTTCTCATTTTAAATGAAATATAGGAGCTAAATCTATAAAGAAATAATATGAGAACTTTTATAGAGTAAATAACTATCTGTTAATTTATTTGTATGTAAATTTGCATTTCTATATGGCATAGCATTAAGGAAATTACGTAGCTTATGTTTCTCTATATTCTGGAAAACATCTATTCCAATATTTAGTTTCTTCCAAAATTACTTACTCCATTGGGCCTCTACCTCCGTCTCTTTTCCTGGCATAGTCTTCTATGTATTCACAGTTTTATCCTTGAATTAACTTGTTTTTTTTTTCTGCACTCTTATTATGCTGGAAACCTTCCTGTCAATTTTCAAGGAAGCAATACTTTTTGTTGATTTCCCTTTGAAAGAGAAAAGCAAGCTTCTAAACTAAGAAAGATCAAATCAGCATAAACTATTAGTATGATATTGTATTCTAAAGCAATGAAAGATCTAAAGATCTCAATCAAAAACACCTGGAACTATTTTATCTTCAATAGCATGCAAAGGCTATATTTACCAGACTTAAAAAACAAATTTCGTGTTTTCCTTTTATTGTTTCAGGAATTAAAAATTTTAAATAAACTATAAGAAGATGGAAAAAAAATCACACATTGGAAAGGGAGCAGAGGAGAGATTATTCTACAATTTGACCTATTAGAGAAATTAAACACATAGGTTCCTTAAATATTGCATAATTACTTCAAAAATGAATGATATTTTTTTTAAAAGCAAAGAACCATAAAACAGGTATGCGTTTTTGTTTCCTCTTTTCCATATGTCAGGGTGAAATCAGCTGTAAGTGATTTATTAGTCATAAGATATACTCATTCATATTTGTGATAACTCATTTCTTATGTTTAAAGTTGATAGACAATCTTCATTTTGAATATTTTCAACTATAAACTTTAAAAGGAGAAATATAAATGCCAACGAATGTATAATTCCCCAATTTACATGTAAAGAGATACTTTTGTCATGTTCCAAATTTTCATTTATTTTAAATTCTTTTCTTTTTTTCTTTTTTCCTTAAGGGCCAAGGATAATTCTATCAGAGGACAAAGATGTTGCTTTTAATTGCTCAGTTACTCTATCTACTGATACAACTTTGGCTTCAGGTCGCTATAGCAATTAAAATGGGAAAACTGGCACCAAAGCTTATTAAACTTCATTTAATCCATTATATATGGTTACAGGAAACCAAAAAGCGTCCTACAGAGTCTGAAATGGATGCATCACCTCTGCAGATAATTAAGTGTTTTGGTGGGAATTTGTTCGAAAACCCAGTGTACAATTAAACAAATATGTTCACATGCCATGTTTCACGGAAATCTGTATGAGTGTACAGGCTTGTCAGTAAGTCCTGATCCTAAATGCTTTTATGCCTGATTAATTGTCGATATCAGGCAGTAGCTTGCTCATTAGCTTCATTCAGGGTCCATTTTAGATTGCAATGAGCTTCATTTAGAGATGATATGCTAACTGTTAATAAACTGAATTGAATTTTTGTATGTGAGCAGATCCTGTTGGAAATAATATAAAAATCTTCCAAAGGGACTGAATATGTTTAGATTATTCTCTCTTGTAAAATTTACTATTAGATTATCTATGTTGCTTTAATTAAACACAAACTTTGTGTTTGCTCTTTATTTTATATTTTATGTTTCAATGTAGCTGGTGTCTCTCACAGATATACTGACACTATCAACTAATATTACTTCTGTATGTAATTAAAACAAACTGATTTTAAGATTCATTAGCTCTTGGTAACTAACTTTTTAGGCAGACATTGCAGACAAATGTATATTTTAGCTATTAATAAAAACTCTAAAGGTAACTCTCTCAATATTTTTCTCTTTCATTCACTAAAATTATTAGAAGACCAGATTATAGATCTGTTTTATTAATATATGTTGGAAACATGGAGTTAGGAACATTTTCTAGAAAGTACAGCAGGAGATATAAAGTTTGCCCAAAAAAGAGGACCTAAATAAGTCCTGCCCACAATTATTCTTTCTTGATTTTCAGATCATATTTGTTTTATTTTTTATATTTTGTATTAAGCTAGATATGGACTAAATTTTATCGTAAAGAAAGCTATGCTTTCAAGAATCACAAGTTAAAATAAAGTCAAACAGTTTTAAATGACCAAAACATAGCTTTATTATTAAATTCACACCCTACATACTATGCCCTAAAAGTAGAATAAGTTTACTAAATAGACTAATTGCCATTTTCATTGTCTTATCTAGACTAGGAGAATTACTCTTTACAAAATGTAGCTCACTATCTCCTTCTGTGCTTTTTAGAAAATGTTCCTAACTCCATTAACTGTCTTCAACATATATCAATAAAACAGGTTTATTATTAGGTCTTCTAATAATTGTAGTGAATTCGAATGATGAAATACATTGTTTGGAGTGGTCTATCAGCAAGAAAACATATTGTGAGAAGTCACAGAACTTTGCTTAGAAAGAGGTGCAAATATATCAATAAAGTAGTCAATATTGGTAATAATAATGTATATTTAGGAATACATATGATATTAGAAATGATCTGTACCCAATACTTATCTCTAATTATAAAAATAAATATAATAAGAATTATTAAGTACAACATTTTTCCTTGTTTTTTAGTTCTTAATACATTGGCATTTCCACTGATTAAGTTCTAAAAAATAATTATCACTGGTATTGAATAAAAAGATATTGAATAGATAGTATAAAATATACATTTTTGGTGGCATTTAGCAGACAATTAAAAATCTTACTTCTCAACTAATTCTTGTAAATAGAGGAAAAATCTTGTTTAGTGATATTTTACAGTTCTCACAAAGACATAGGAAAAGCAATGATGGAATTTTTATTTCAAACACTTACAAAATAACAGAGATTCATTTTTGGAAAGGAAAGTATACTTCTTGATGGGTATTTTATAATCAGATATCCCACTGGCTGTATTTCTGTTGGTCTATTTTTTAAAGCAAGTTCAGAAGACAAATACTTTTCTCTTAAATTATTGTAAAAACACACAAATATAAGGCTCCTAAGCTTCTCTTTTTCTAATACCCCATATTTAATTATATATTTTAAAGAGTTCTGTGACTTTACTTTTATCAACAACAAATTTAAAATTAATTCTACATAAATTTTTTTATCACATGCAAAGATGACTATACATGAAAACATTGCTTTGTGCCAAATATATGCTATAACAATAATTTGGTAACTTCTAGCAAAGTAAGATGATGACTCACAACATGTTTTAAAATATAATTATTAGAAAACAGAGATTCAGGAACCTTTGAAACAAGAATATCTCTTCAAATGAGATGTACATTCCTTACTAATATGGCTTAGCTGTGTCCCCACCCAAATCTCACCTTGAACTGTAGCTCCCACGATTCCCATGTTATGGCAGGGACCCAGTGGGACATAATTGAATCATGTAGGTGGGTCTTTCCCATGCTGTTCTCATAATAGTGAATAAATCTGACAATATCTGCTGGTTTTATAAGGTGGGGTTTCCCTGCACAAGTTCTCTCTTTGCCTGTTGCCATCCATGTAAGATGTGACTTGCTCCTCCTGGCTTCCTGCCTTGATTGTGAGGCCTCCTCAGTCATGTGAAACTGTAAGTCCATTTAACCTCCATTACCCAGTCTTGGATGTGTCTTTATTAGCAGTGTAAAAACAGATTAATACACTTAATAAATAAGGCAACTTTGCTTTCTAATGAGATCCTTTCATTCATTCAGGAGATTCTCCTAAAGTGTATGGTGCTTTTCCATCAGTTGGAGTTTGAGGTCTCAATTCCTTTTTCCAGTGATGGCAACTGTTATTTCTCAATACTCATTGAGAATTGCAGGGATGGCTGTTTTCTGAATATACACTGAGCATATTTTACTCTGTGCTTTTTCTTATATACATCTAGAATATCTACTATCCATCTCAAATGATGAAGACTGTATCTTCCTGTTTTTCTTGGTCCTTTTTAGTTCTACTACCTTAGTGCTTTCCTGAACACCATGAGGATGTGCCCCCTTCCATGAAATTTTTATGATTTCTGGCTGTTCCCTTCTTATTTTACTTACCTTGCAGTAAAGTTATTGGTTTGAGCAGCATCATAGACTCCTGTGGTATTGGAATATATATTCATGATTAACAATGAGAAAGCAAACACAATGAGAGCAAACTCCATACTAGCACACCATGAAAATAATATTTTTTCTAGTGGTAGAGGAATGGGGATTTTTTGTTGGGGACAAGATCTGATTCTGTTGCTTAGGCTAGAGTGCAGTGACACCATCACAGCTCACTGCTTCCTTCACCTCCTGGGATCAAGTCATCTTTCTGCCTCAGCTTCCATGGTTCCAAGTAGCTGAAACTACAGGCACACACCACCACAGCCCCCTTAAATTTGTATTTTTTATAGATATGGGGTCTTGCTATGTTGCTTAGTGATATGGTTAGACTTTGCATTTCCACACAAATCTCATCTTGAATTGTAAACCCCAGAATCCCACACATCAAGGGAGAGACAAGGTGGAGGTAATTAAATTAAGAGGGGAGTTCTCCCATGCTTTTTTCATGATAGTGAGTGAGTCTCACAAAATCTGATGGTCTTATAAGCAGCTCTTCCCCCTTCTCTTGGCAATTCTCTTTCCTGCAACCTTGTGAGGAAGGTGTTTTGCTTCCTCTTCATCTTCCATCATGATTTTAAGTATCCTGAGGCTTCTCCAGGATATTTAACTATGAGTCAATTAAACCTCTTTCATTTATAGATTACTCAGTCTTGAGGAATTCTTTATAGCAGTATGAAATAGACTAATACACCCAGCCTGGTCACTAAATCCTAGGCTCAAGTGATGTGATCCTCCTGCTTTAGCTCCCCAAATTGCAGGGATTACAGGTATGAGCTGCTACACCTGGCCTAAGGGAAAATAAATTTTAATAAGCAGCTATATATACAGTTCTAGTTGTGTGTGTGTGTATGTGTATTTCAATTCTGAGTAAATTTATAGAGTTGTGCAATCATCACCACAATCCAGTTTTAGAACATTTCAGTCACTAATCTACTTTTTGTATTTTTGTTTTAGCCTTTACTGAGTTTTTCTTACAAATTGAATTATACAACTATGGTCTTTTCCATCTGACTCTGTTCACTTAGCATGATATTTTGAAGTTCATTCATGACTTAGCATCTACTGATAACTTGTCCATTTTATTGTTGAATGGTATCCAATTTTTATATGGCTACCTTTCATTTTGTTTATTGAACAGTTGAGGGAAATATGTATTGCTTCCAATTTGAAGCTTCTATGAAGAATGCTGCTATAAAAATAAACATTCCTATGCAAGTCTTTGTGTGAGTGTGTGTTTCCTTTCCTCTCAGATTTCTCAGAATTAAATGTGTGGGTTATTTGATAAGTTTATGCTAACTTTTAAAATAACTGCCAAACTTTTTCAGAGTGGCTTAACCATTTTACATTTCCCTCACCAACTTATGAGGGTTTTGGTTTTCCATATCTTGGTCAATATTTGATGTTGTCTTTTTTCCAAAAGAGAGAGAGAGAGAAAAAAAAAAACCCTTCTGATGGGTGTAACGTGGCCTCTCCTTGTTGTTTTAATTTTCATTTTCTTAATAACTAATAATGTTTATACCTTTTCATGTGATCATTGTTCATTCATATATCTTCTTTGGTGAAATATCTATCCAAATATTTTACTCATTTTTACATTGGGATGTTCATTTATTTTTTATTATTGAATTGTAACAGTTCTAGATATAGTCTTGTAACTAGTCATGTATCCTATATGTGATTTGCAAGTATTTTCTTTCACTTTATATCTTGTCTTTTAACTTTTTTGATGATATCTTTCAAAGCTTAAAATGTTTAATTATGCTGAATTTCAGTTTATCTTCCTTTTTTGTTGTTTTATGTTGCACTTCTGGCATCTCCTTAAAATAAGGTTAACAAATATTTTCTTGCGTGTTTTCTTCTGGATATTTTATGATTTGGGTTTTCATATGAGGTCTCTGAGTTATGTCTGAGTTAGTTGTGTGATAGAACATACAGGTCTACATCAGTCTTTTGACATGTAGACATTCAATTGTCCCTGTATTATTTATATGAAAGGCTATTCTTTCCTCATTGAATTGCCTTGACACCTTTTAAAAAATTATTTGAGCCTAAATGTGTTTATTTCAGGACTCTCAATTCTGTACCATTGATCTATATGTTTATCCTCACACTAGCAGCATTCTATCTTGCTTAGTGTGGATTTATAGTAATTTTGAATTCTGGAAGTCTGAGTCCAACTTTATTCTTTTTCAAAGTTCTTTTGGCTATTCTAGGTTCTTTGTAATTCTTTATAAATTTTAGAATCAGCTTGTCCATTTTTGCAAACAACAACCACAACAAAAAGACCAACTTGCTGAGATTTTGATAGGGTGTATGTTAAATTTGTAAATCAATTTAGGAAAGAATTGACATCATAAAAGCATTAATTTTTCAATTCAAACATATGGAATAGCTCTCCATTTAGTTAAGTCTTCTTTAGATGTGTAACAGCAATGTTTTGTAGTTATCATGTAATACATTTTGTACTTTTTGTTAAATGTATTCATAAGCATTTTATTCTTATTTGATAATTTTATAAATATAATTAATTTCACTTTGGGATTATTCTTTGTATTTGAAAACGCAATTGCTTTTGTATATCAACCTTATATAGGTAAACATGCTGACCTTTCTGATTTGGTTTAGTAGTTGTATTGTGGCTTCCTTAAGACTTTTTATATATATGATGACAGCATCTGTGAATAAAGACAATTGTACTTCATACTTTCAAATGTACATGTCTTTAATTTCTATTATTTTATTTGCAATTATATACTGGCTACAAACTCAATTAAAATGTTAAGTAGGATTGGTGACAGCAGAAATCTTTGCTTTTTTCCCCGTCTTTCAGGGAATGCATTCAATCTTTCAGCATTAAGTATAGTGCTACCTGTAGGTTTTATGATGATTCCTTTAACAAGATCAGGACACTTCCTTTCATTCGTCTGTTGAGAGTTTTCTAATCATGGGTGTGTTTTGGATTTTGTCAAACCCTTTTACTGCATCTATTTTGATGATCATGGGTTGCATCATTATTTTCAAATGTTAAAATAACTAACTATCAAATGCTTAATAAAAATTCCTTTGTCTCTAATAGCTAGCACCATTTGGTCACCTGTATGCACTTAAAATCACTATGTACAGGTGACTACTTTTTTTTAACCAGTTGTTAAGGCTGCTTCTGGCTCAATGAAATGCTGGATCATAATTATTAATGCTAGGAGAGTTTTGAAGACTTTCAGGAAAAAGATCCTTTTTTGACTTAGTAATATGTTGGTAAGGAGTAGAAAGGGATTTTCTTGTTTTCTTTTTTAATTTTTTTGGTTGTGGGAAAAAATATATGTAACATAAAACACCTGTAAGTCATTTTTAAATGTGTATCTCAGTGACATTCAGTACATTCAGAATGTTGTGCAGTTACCACCACTATTCATTTCCATAACATTTTTATCATCTAAAGCAGAAGCTTGGTACCCACTAAATATCACCCCCACTTAACTCCCTACCCCCAGACCCTGGTAACCCTAGTAACCTCTATTCTACTTTCTGCTTTTATTAAATTGCCTTTTCTAGGTGGTTCATGCAAGTGAAATCATCCTACATGTTTCCTTTTGTGTCTGCTCCTTTTACTTAGCATCACGCATTCATGGTTTATCCACTATGTAGCCTGTCTTAGAGGAATTTCATTTATTTTATGACTGAATAGTATTCCATTGTGTGTTTATAGTGTATTTTTATAACCATTTATCTGTTGATGATTGATAGACATTGGGTTGTTTCCACATTTTGGCTATTTTGACTAATGCTACTATGAACATCAGTGTATAATTTTCTCTTTGAGTCCTTGCCTTCATTAGTCCTTTTAAGTTTCTACCTAGAAGTGAAACTTCTGGATTGTATAGTATTTCTAGGTTTCATTTTTTGGGGAACAGCTATACTATTTTCTACAAAGACTGTACTATTTTATCTTACTACTAGCATCAAGGGATTCAACTTCTTTCTAAAATTTTCTCTAATACTTTGTTTTCATTCAATAAGAGTCATTCTAATGGGTGTGAAGTTGTCCTTAGTTGTTGTTTTGACTTGCATTTTACTAATGATGAGTGATGCTGAGCATTTTTCAAGTGCGTGTTGCCCATTTGTGTATCTTTCTTGGAGAAATGTTTATTCAAGTCCTTTAATCATTCTTTGTTTTTCTTGTTGAATTTTATAAGTTATTTATGTATTCTGGATATTAATCACTTATCAGGTATATGACTTACAAATATTTTCACTTGAAGCATCCTTTGATGTAAAACATTTTAATATTGATGAAATCCAATTTGCTTATTACTTTATTGCCTATGCTTTTGATTTCATAGGTAAGCAACAGCTGTCAAATTCAATGTCATACAATTTTGCTATTTTTTGTAAAAGTTTTGGAATTTTACGTCTTAGTTTAGGTCTTTGATCCATTTTGAGTAAGTTTTTGTATGTGGTATATGGTACAAGTTTTACATGATTCTTTTGCCTGTGAATATCCAGTTTTGTTAAGTTCCCTTTGTTGAAAGGAATGTCCTTTCCTTCATTAAATGGTCTTGGCACCTTTGTTAAAAAATCAACTGACTTTATACGCAAAGATTTATTCTGAGGCTCTCTATCTACTGCATTGGCCTACATGTCTGTCCTAAAGCCAACACCACACTGTTATGACTACTGTACCTTCGCAGTGCCTTTTAAAATGGGGAAGTGTGATTCCTTCATCTTTGTTTTTATTTTTCAAGATACCTTTGGCTGTTAAAATTAAAATTGCTTGAGACTTCACATAACCATCAGAATGAATTTTTCTATTCCTACAAAAAGAAAACCCTTGGTATTTTTGATAGCTCTTCCATTGAATGTGTAAATTGCTTTGAGTAGTGTGGTCCTCTTGACACTATTATGTCTTCTAATCTTCCTTTATTTTTTTCTGTGTAGAAAAGAACAGAAAGAAGAGTGAAAACAAGAAAAATGAGACTTTGGAAAAGAGGC